CTCTAATTAAGCACGGCTCCAGCTGATCGTTGGACAGACGAGTAAAATCGCTTTCGTGCAGAATGAAGTTATAATAAATTAAAGAAAGGTTATTCGGCCAAAATAACACAAAAATGTATTTTCTCAACAATAAAACGAAAAACAAACTTTCATAATTATTTGTCATTTTAGTCTCCATGACTTAACTCGCCAGTTTCAGTCAAATTATAAGCAATCTATTTTATTCGTAGATGTTTTTGTGTAGATATTATTTTCATATATATTTGAGCATACTCTTCTCATACAAAAAGGTATCGTTGCGATGTACAATATAACAACAAAACAATTTTTTTTGCAAAGTTGTTTTTGAAGTTCGTTTGACACTTGTTTTCTTATTTTGCAGTTAAAGATTAAATATCCTCTTTATACAGACATCGGGAGATCTTACTGGCAAGAACGCAGTAAAAGACCGTCTGTATCACTATTTAGAAGAAGAAGCTATTTCGCCTCACCTCTAATTGAATTGTTGTAGTATTGTAGCAATAAATAAAAATATTTGCTGTAGTAATAAGGAAGTCTTATCAGTGATTATTTTAAGACATAAAATAAATTTTAGAACAGGTAACATTTCTTCAGTCGTCACTTCGCCGTCGGCAAAACATAATCTGCCTCAAGTTGTTCGTATGGCACGATTCTTCAATTAATTTGTACCAAACGTAATTTAAATTATGTGAATAAATAACAATTACATCAGTACAATACAAAAACAATAGATCGGCCCACAGCAACTAAAAAAACTTTTTTTTAAGTTTACGGGTAGTCGTGACCCTAACGGCAATGTACGGCTTGCTGTTTCGAGTAGTGAAGACTCGGAGCCTATATGGCTAAGGGAACCCGTCAGCAGTGAAATTCCCTTTGGAATATCGAATAGTGAATTCTAGGCCGAAGTCAACGATCCCCCCCCCCCACACACACACACACACATCCTTTTGCTGCCACTGGTGTCCGCTCAAAGCCACGTCTAGACACGGGCAGATTTTCCGAACCCATAACTAAGGGCACCAAACTTTATTTGACATTATTTGGTAAATAATAACAATAAATTTCATACCGTGCGAATATTCTGGAATTCGTAAATCATTTTTTTTAAAGTGAAAATTGATTCATACTGAACAACATCGAAACTTTCTGACAATTCTTCTTACAAAGTTGGGGTACCCTCCAAAAATGTTAAAACATACAAAAAATGTCTCATTTTGTAGAGTGCGGCAAGTGAAACAACTCATATCCCTTCAGGGTCCTGATTTCAAGGACCTTGTTAAGCACGATGATCAGCAAAGTAAAGTGTGTTGCGGGTCGCATGAATACTTGCTCTTTTTTTCCTATAACTACTAGTTAGTGTCTTATTTTTACGTGGCGAGACTTGGGCCATTAGGTCAGCTCTTCCGCCTTTTAGAACGCAAATTTCACCATCTAGAAGAAGGTATCATGTCAGGTATCACGAAACAGGCGATCTGAATTTAGCTTTCATGCTTCTTTTAGGATTGATGATCCTTTACAATAAATCTATTACATGGGACAGCCGGCTTTGCTTCCCCTCTGAAGAACGGCGTGCGACGGATTTTTTCCTACTGAACCCGCACCAACAAATTTGAGTATAACAGCCTGATATGCTAACCGTTACACCACTAAGCCCGCGAACTTTTATCGCCATCAATCTGTCTCATGCAGGACTGTTGAGTATTTTCCTCTCCCCCATTAGCATGTAATAGGTTTTTGTGCCGGTGATAGTTCCTTATAAAAGGTTCAAAATAGTAACCGTCATCATTCCTTAGTATATTTATAGAGAGGAGATTCCATCATATTTAACTACAATAGTTACCTTTTGTAAATAAAGGAATATTTTTACAATTCATCTGACTTTTAAAGAAAACTACAATACAGAGTGAGTCTTTTTCCCAATTCATAATACCATGTTTCTCTTAATGTAATCAATACCTAATGTATCCGTAGTTTGTTCTTCAGAGGTATAGATATTGTACGAAAAGTTTTGCGAAATTATTTGTATTCGGAAAAAAAGAACAAGAGAAAACACACATACTTTCCTGCCGTGAATTAGACTAGAATCATTTGCATACCCGGAAGCGCTGTTGCAACCCGGAAGCGCCTTAATACGAGACACTGATAGAACTGTGACGCGATCCCGTTCAGAAGATTATTACGGGGAAGAAAGGCTAATACCAATATTTATAAATTCCATCAATTCATAAATGTGCTTTTTTTCTTTTATTTATTTTCTTTATTTTGTTAAGTTTCTCAACAAAACATATGTACTAGATGTTCCCTCCACCTAGGATTGCCACCTTGCCAATTCCAGAAAACCGGAGACCGCTGCGACCGGTGGGCGGGATTACTGAAATCTAAAAAGAAATTGACGCAGACTTGTATTTATTTCTTTAAAGTATATTTACATATCTTTGGTTTCTAGTGATCTATAAATAATTAACATTAATTCAAAATAGTGTTACACTTTGCTAACATCCTACTTTTTCCAGCTATACTTTTCGTTGCTCAGAGCTTTTTTTAGCAGAGATATTTGCTCAGATTTTTTAAGAAAATCAATGAATTGATCACAAGTCAAGTCGTAGTTCAATTTTACAAATAACTCAGATTTTGGGCATAACATTTCTATAAAAGATGGAAGTTAAAGTGATGTCAAATACAAACAAAACAACAGACCTCTTAAGAATTGTGTTTTTTAGATGTTTGAAACTTCTTTTTCTTGTTTTGCAGCTAAAGATAAAATTCCCACTTTACACTGACATTGGGAAATCATTTTGGCAAGAACGAAGTAAAAGACCATCGGTGTCACAATTTAGGCGAAGAAGCTGTTTCACCACACCTCTCAATGAAATTATGGAAGAAAATCCATTCAGATAAAACTGCATTTTTCAAAAGAAGAAAAGTTAATGATCTGTTACTTCAGCTAAACACCCATTATAATAATTCAAACTGTTCAATGTAAACTCATGGCCTTCGAAAGATCTTTCCACTGTGTACAATTCCAATGAATCCTTTTTAATAAATAGTTTTACAGTATTACCGCTTATAATTGAAATACGATTGTGAAAGAAATGTGAAAACAGATATCACAATAGAGCCCAAACACGCAGAGCTCTTCAGAAAAATTGCAGTACTATGAACTTTCACAATGTTTCTCGTATTCACTCTCTATCTGCAATTTTTCCTAAACCAGAAGTGATATTATATGTAAATTTCAAAGTCTTGCAATTTTCTGTATATTCTACAAAGATGTTTTAACCTGTGTGTTTATATTTATGGGTTATATACTACTTGCTCAATTATGTGGTACGTGTCCGTGTATATTCAACCAATTGATCATTCAATTCGTTTCGAAAATGCTTTATAATGACAACTATCTGAAACCTTGCTATTATATCGCACAAAAGAAAACTAGTGGTTCTACAACACCATATAGCTACTTGTGTTATTTAAAATAGCTACGTAATATTGAAATATTGCATTTTCTACACTACTAAAACCTCAGCTACTACTTGAAAACGTCCAATTCAGACAAGAAGCGAGCAACGTACTGTTGCCAGTGCAGCGTTGTCACAACTATGTGCATTCGCTTGGCGATTAGTATCAGTTCTTGGCAAAACGCTTATTTGCATCTGTATTCAGATTTCAACTTGTTTATCGGTTAGTCATAGAACATCATACATAGTTGATAAGTAACTCTAATACATTAAAATCTCTAATTAAATTACGAATATTCTGCTATTTGCCTCAAACGAAATGCAGGAAAATAAAAATTTAAGGTAGTATGTCCGTTCGACCACGGTGAAGTATCCAACTACAAAAATTACTTTAAATGAAAGTAAAATATCTCTTCTAGGTGGTAAGAAAAAATTTGGGCCTTACGGGCTTAATTGTTTAATAAAATTTTCAATTACAGGATATTATGGAAAAACATTCGCGGACATAGTTTCTGCGCGGACATATATATTTCATTAATTTCAAGCAGGAATTACCCCAAAATTTCTTGTTTTAAAAAAATATATACAGGTTTCACACCAACTACGGGCCACGAGAAACATTGAAGGATATGGAAAATAACTTATTTCATTTATACTTTACTATTGAAAATGCCAATATTTATTCTATTTTTACTTTCTCGCACTTTTACTTTTTACTCAATTTCTATTCTCAATGTATTGATGTATTTCTTTTTAAGCAATCCGCAAAGCTTAATTGAAATTTCCGCAACAATGCGAATCGATATTTGAAAAGCTAACTGTTGTTGAGCGTCGAGATGGAGTAAAGATACAGCTGTTTTATTTAGTCGAACTAGTTTCCAAATAAACCTTTCAGATGTGAATCGAAACTTACTTGATAACCCATTGTCGCGGTATTCTCTCGTGCCCTAAGAGAACCTGTGCTGACAACAGCATTAGTACTCCTTGGTTGAGAGCCAATACTTCCATTTGCGATGAATTTCGTAGTAGTTTTTTTTATAAAGAACTCCTCAGAATGCCCGGTGAGGTTATTTAATGTTATATACCATTTAATATCATCTGACTCATAAAAACAAATTACTGCGTATTGAATAAACTAAAAAAGGTACATTAACTATAACTTCAACATATTAAAGAAAACTATGTCCGCGAATGTTTTTCCATATCATCCTGTAATTGAAAATTTTATTAAACAATTAAGCCCGTAAGGGCCAAATTTTTTCTTTCCACCTTGAAGAGATATTTTACTTTCATTTAAAGTAATTTTTGTAGTTGGATACTTCACCGTGGTCGGACATACTACCTTAAATATTTATTATGCCTTCATTATGTGATTTCAATATAGAGATAAAATACCAATATCTGAACTTTGAGATTTGTTTGCAGTTTTCAGAAAAGCTTGGGTATTGCAAAACCAGTGGCTCATGTTGATTTCTCTTCACGAATACTTGTACACATCTGATCAATATTGTAAAAACAAGGTTTTGACATTAAAAACTCATAATTTATTTGAAATCAAGCATTTTTAAAGTGTTTTACATTAGTACCTATTTGTATACAGTTATTCCACAAAATACAGACACTATCAATAAAAACATTTGTAACCAAATAAAGAAATCTTGTAGAAACAGGAATGGACTGGGAACAGTTATTTAAAATAAAATAAAAAGATCTTGATAATTTAATAACTAATAATTCACCTTTATACATCAATAGCCTTATCATAAAGCTACAATATTGCAACATCATTACTACATAAATTACAGCTTATGTCCAGAACTTCAAATGAGCTCTCTTAGCCCAATCCCAATACGAAGAATGGGCGTAGTACTCATTATACATGGGGTCAATAAATTTATCTTTTGGAATTGTTTTGTAAATGGGCTCTCCTTTGTAAGTTCCAACCTCCCAGCCATCTACGTTTGCCATTAACTTTTCCTCCTCGTCTCTGTTGCGCCTTAGTTGCTTCAAGAACCTGCAACAATCAAACACTGGATCATAAGAAATACTGAAACAGTGGAAGTCAGAAGTTCAAAAAAACAGGAGGCTCATGAGCCTGCACCACTCCCCCATTACTATGGAACATTCAAAAAATGTTGTTTATGCTAATTTTCTGTAGTAACTAAAGGTCCTTAAATGCACTAGTCAGAAACAAAAGGCAATAATAACAATAATAAATCAACATATAAAAATTATTTTTAAATTCAAAATAAATACATTTTCTTTATAAGAAAAACATCCAGTTGGTTAGACTACACCTACAGACCCCCCAAAACAATTCTGGTTGCACCACTGAAAGAAGTATAAATTGACTGTTGTGAATTAATAAAAGAAACCCTAAATATTGAGAACACACTAATTTCATGATAACAAAATTCAATGTACTCTCAATCAATGGTGTACTGGTAATTTTTAAGTGAAAGTAATTCCAGGATGATCACTGATCAGCCAACTTTCATACACTCTTAAGTCAAAACTTCATTTGGAACTAGCAGAGCTTTGCCATGCTGACATAGAATAGGGTTTCCATGAAGTAGACTCAGAATTCTGTAATTTCTAACAAGAGAATTCACTGCCACTACAACTCCCACAGCATAAAATGCAAGTGTGTTACAAACAAAACTCACTCAGGAAATCATGAGATTCTAATATATAAAACAATACATAAGTTTTGGGCTCGAAATAGTTCAAAAATCAAATTATTGTACAAGAAGTTTTTTAATAAACTTTTCCCTCAGAAAGCATAAAAGACTGTTAATGGTGCAGGTCTCACTTTTATTAAAATCACTGACTTTTTGAATATTGCAAAAGTTCAGATTTATTTTTCGGCGTCTTCCTGCAATTACAATATTGAAGGAAGAGATGTCTTCCCTCGTTGAAATCGTTCTTAAACAACAGACCTTGAACTTAGGTCAAGAACATTCTTTCAAAAATTAAGCAGTTTTCGCATAATTTTGTTTGAAATAATCATTTTTATTTTTCTCTCTCAAAAAGACTCCAAAATTGTTTTTAAATTTTCCTCCTCCTATGTATCAAAGGATGGTAACAGAGTGGTGTTAGTTTCATTTCCCGCAAACATTTTGTATTTTCCATGATCACAAAATTTTAACATTTCAAAACTGCAAAGTTGAAAATAGTTTTACCTTACACAAAATCTGTTCTAAACTGGTGTGGCAAAAACAGCACATACATCCTTGCATTACATGTAAATTTGCAATTTTAGAAAATTCAGAGATCAACTGAAATGAGATATGCGCCATTCTTTTAAGCATCCCTTCTCTTATCCTTAAAAAAAAAATTAAAGAAAAAATTTGGAGCAGTTTTATAGAAAATGTTATTTTTATAAATTCATTAATTTCAGTCCCTAATTTTGCAAAAACTAATTTTTTCGAAAAAATGTGCATGACAGTTTTTAAAGACCCTTTTTTTTTATAACAGACTTTTAAGGCAAAAATTGCAATCATCGACTTTGGAATTTTAAAATATTAACTTTTTACAATTTTCAAAGTTTGCCAAAAATGTGATTAGCACCTAGGGTTTTCATGTCTTCTTTTCTCCGGACAGTTCCTCTTTTTGAAGTTAAAATAATTGTCCAAATGGATTTTAGAGAAAAGGATAAAATGTCATCTTTTTTTATTGGAAAAATGGAACTAATTTTAAACACAACATAAATGTATGATATACGAAATACACTGTGCTTTTTTGAGTCCCTGACATTATAACATTTTTTTGTTATATAAATATCTGACATTTAATTTCAACTATCTGGCCTAACAACCACCAAATTCCATAGGTCAACTATAACTACATTTACATTCTTTACTCCAAGAACTACGATTGTCATCACCTGGTACAACATTTGTTAACACTCATGAAAGGAAACAACAATCAACTAGAGTGATATGAATACTTCAAGCAGTCTCCAAGTCTTGTGTAGCATTCCAAACTCTTAAAAATTGGCGAATTTTATTTTGCAATCCCTAGTCATAGTGCTAACACAAAATGCATCTTCTCTCTAATAAATGAACAGTATTCATTAGACGAACAGGTTTAACATTGGAAATATTAATGGTTTAGTGTGTGTTCAATACAACTTGAAGCATCTAACCTGTACGAGTTTCTAGGAATACGTATTGGAAAATAAAAACTGTTGAGGGAGATTTCATCACCCTCGAAATAATTCTGATATAAACGTGGAAAAGGTAGAAATGATAATGAAGCAGACCTAATAGTATTGTGTGATATGAAAATGGTGACAAATATTTAAGTTTTTATTTTGACCTTATTAAGTATTCTGTCTACAAGGAAAATAAATTATTTTAAAACTTTTTACTTGAAATGTCCTCTTTTTTCATAAGAATTATCCTCTTTTTCAATAAAGAAAGTATAGTAAGCCTATTAGTGCCATAATTTTCACCATCCCTTGATACATACCAGGGAAAAATTTAAACAAAAAAGTTGGTTTCAAACAGAATTTTTTTAAAAAAAAATTAAAATACCTTTATTTTGTGCAAAATTACACAAAAACTACTCATATTTTCGAAAAATAGAACATGACCTTATTTCAAAAGAATATTGAATCAGAATTTCATTTGTCTAACAGAACAGATTTCACTATGAAAATACTCTCTGTCTGCAATATTATAGTTGTAGAAAAATGCCCGAAACAAATTGCACTTTTGCAATATTCAAAAAATTAGGATTTCAAAGAACATGAAACCTTTTAAAGCAAGTGTGTCCAAAGACCAAGTTTAGTCAAAAAATTTGGTGCTATTTTTGAAAATGTTTTTCAGGCATATAAGCTCAAAAATTAAAATATCCAATTGAAACTCCCAAAGCCTTGCGAACGTTCAGATCAATCAGGGAATAATTCTGGAGAAAATCAGCTAAACGGATTAAGCGACAGCGTCACTGCCCACCTTCAGTACAGCTTCCTTGGGTCCCGAGCAAGAGGCATTAGCTACCGTCGTTCTCTCGTTTGAGAGTAAATTCAGTTATAGCAATTATAACATTGGGTTCAAGTTTATTATGTTCAATATTTTTTCGTTACCATTTAAGAATAATATAAACTTTGAAGAATTAGAGACATACATTTGATGACATTGTATTGCTCCTGAAAAAGACCTATTTGATTGGGCCTAGCATTGTGTACCATATGACAGTTGTCACAGTGACTTTAAGAGAATAAAGAAATGATTGAAAATGGAAGATATTGAATGTATTCTGGATGAAATATTAGAAGCTGACAAAGACATGAAAGCATTACTTCCTATGAAACATAAAGACAGGTATGAGAACAACATGTATAAATGTTGGAAAGTAAAACGAAAGTCACTTCTGACTCAGAAGTTTTGCTGGTGTACTTTTTAGAATGGGAAAACATAACTGAAATTTTTACATTTGTATCATGCTAAGACCAAATGTTTTACATGTAAAACAAATACTCAATTAATATAATAATAATCTACGATTTTTCATGGAATTAAAAGAGTATAATTATTTCACTAAACGAAAATTATTAACATTCTTCGGGCAATGTAAAGCAAACAACCCCGACAAAATCAATTTCCAAAAAGTAAAACCCACACTGCTCATGATCAAGAAATAAAATACTCTTATAATACTACAATGAACTGTACATTTTAAAAGTCTTCGCGAATATGGCTAAAGCATAGTATCATGGTTAAAGAAAGGGACATAGTACACCCTCAGAGAAGCATGGCAGCTGAGAGGAGGTCTCCTTGAGCCCTCCCTTAAATTACGCTTCGAGCTCTGATAGAAATGAATAAAACTTACAGATAGGCGATTTTCAAGGCTCGCCCATCATACGCTTTGTCCCTGTCACATTGTAATGCGAATTTACTTTCAAAGGCAAGTTTCCTCGCTTCACTCGCCCGGATTCGAGACACGGCAAAGCTTGAGTCTTCGGCCCTCGTGTTCACTATAAACATCCTTGAGTCTACCCACCACATAATAACCAATTCACATTTATAAAAAAGCACTTTTCAAGAAAGCCTCCATAATTCAAACTGCGCAGTTGCTGCCAAGTTGCTACAACTTCTGTAGGTTGTACATATACTAGACTTCAACCAGTATCATATTTATACCATATAATTCTTTACATAACAAGTCTGTAAGAGTAGTTGCTGTTACATAATGCAAGACTTAATTAGCAAACATTTAATGGCAAGCACCCTCCACTTCGAAGCTTGCTGTCCCATACTGTCAGCTGTGTTGTAAACAATGTCACACTGAATGTGATAATCCAGTCAGTACAAGCCACATGAGAATAGGCTTAGTAACACAATGAAGCATTTGCATCTTTCTGTCAAAATTGAAACTATTTCATTGATTTGGTACTTTTTCCTAAGTTCCTGGATATCTAGCAAAACCATAGACACCTCTCACAAGGCTCGAGGCAACAGTTTACCTTTAATTTCTGCGAGCTTTGGAAATAGTTTTTAACGATTCATTTTCTTTACATATCCCAATCTGTTTTGAATTTTCTTAATGGAAGGCAAACTGTTAAGATTCTTAACGGGTGCCCTCAGTTAAGAGTAGCTTTTCATTCCTCTGTTTGGTGGCATTAAGTCAATATAACCAAAAAAAAATTCAATTCATTATAATTACTGAAGTGATTATAGCAATATTTTTAAACACAATAACAAATCATTTAATAACGTGCAGCATGAATATGTCAATTCCAGTCATTAACTTTCCAATATTTCTTTAATACAACATAATACACATATATTTCTTAACTCTACACAAACAAATAGATGTGAAAAACAATGAGGAAGGGATGGCAAATGTCAAAGTTTCTAGAATTCACCAAAAGCCTTCACAATAAAATATAAACACAATATAAAAAGGAAACTAAAAATGCCTTACTCTCTGTCTCTTTCAGCCAAAAGCAAAGGATAAATTGCTATTTTTGCACTTCTTGCTTCTATTTCATCTCGAGTTACTTTCCTTTTATTCAAATAAAACAAATAACAGGCACCAGCAGTGATCCCAAGATAGCCCGCAATCATCGCATAACCTGTACAAAAAAAATAAATCATACACTCACATTTAAAAAGGATGATGAATAGGGTAACGTTCTCTTACTTACCACCAAAATATGATTTGGCCGGAATTCTTTCAAAATGGATTTTTTGATAGCCTCCTTCAGGAGGCATATCTTGAATGTGAGGAGCCATTTTACAGTCGATACAAATTGTTCCAAACAGATACCTTTATTATTTGTAACTGCTTTTATGAGTTGTAAACTCAAGATGTTAAAGACATTACTTAAAATGTCTGTCGACACACAAGAGTTTTCACGAAGTAATACGAGATGTACTTCCTAAGTTCCTAAATTTCCCCGATCAAAGAGAATAATGTTTCAGTATATCCGTATATCCCCAAAGAACATCCACAGAGCACCCACCCACAATATGTGAACGAAACTATACTCCGATCGTAAGGGAAGTTACACCATGATTTTGATGAAGACAAGAACACGGAGACCAAAGAAGCGATAAGAGGAAGAAAGTAAAGCTCTTAATAGAAGACGGAGTAACAACCCAAGTCAATATTGCATTATTGGGCTTGCGAGCTCTTTGCTTGCAAAAAGATATTAACAGCGTAACTCTTTAGCTGGCAGAAATATTTGAATATAACTATTAGTAGTAACGATCATTGTTAGCGTCTGAAGATCCGTCATTTTATGACCTCAATATTGGAAGGCCAGTAATACAAATAAATACCATGGCGTTCTGACAAAAAAAGGACTAGACTTTTCATTACATACAGATAAACCACACAACGCATAGTTCACATGGAAATAACTACATACTATACATGCAGCTGGAGACATCGCAGCACGACCAGAAAATATTTCTTTCATCAACTTCAAAAATAAACACTGACCACCTCGTTAAAAATATAATATATAACGCCTGGATTCAAGGTAATCATGCAAAAGTCGGATAAGAAGCGATGGTAATACCACGTCTAAAACCTAGCAAAGATTGTCTAAAACCCGAAAAAATCGTTATGTGTCAATTAGTGTGCTCTTGTCGGAAAATGAGAAGGGGAGTCACGAACCGAATAACGTCATGTCTTGAGAGATTCAACCTTTTTGAATATTCATCAGAGAGGATATTGAGACTTGACCCCACTATTGACCACTCGTACCTAGTATATTTGGAAAACGCAACGCAGAATATCTTTATTGAAAGGAAACACACGGTTGCTTTGAGTTGAAAATGACCTTCAACGAGTCCTGGAGACATAAAATTATCAGACGGGTTAGGCAAATCATAGGTTAACCATCAAATTCATCCCAGGTTTCTTCAGGCAGACCCTTTTAGGTTTGCGCTAGAAAGTCCATCTAGAGAATTCTAGATGGAAGTCCATCTAGAGGGTCACATACTAGAGAATGATGTACCGCAAAGTCGTCCTCTGACTGGCACGCTCTTTACCATAGCGATCAATGAAATATTTGAAGGCAGAGAATCATCAATAGGACAATGCGCGTACGTTGATATGAGTGTGGGCTCGTGTAGGATTGTTAAGAGTAAAGAAACGATCCAAAACAAATTAAATTACTAGATAAATACGATATTCGTTTTAACCAAAAAGTTTACTTTTAGCGAACACTCAAATTTCACCGTGATTTTTCGAGCCTCTGAATTTCACGACATAGATATTTGATACCATTGCAACCAGTACACGAACAAACTTCCCACGCATTTGAAACTAGAGCGCTTGGAAAATAGAAAAGTTTGTCTTTATTGCAAACAAATTAACCAGGACGCTTTATCATACGTAGGTATGGTAACCCAAGTGGTAAATAGCTTCCCCCTTGCTGGTGCCGCATTTAAGCCCGATAGGAGCGGAGTCGGGCGTCCTTTCTGCCCTACAGCCATTTGTTCTTGAAAACTGACCATTTAAATTGCCCAGAATATAAAAATTAACTCATTTTTTACACGTTTAAAAGAACTAACTAGTGATGCTACAGAATGGCACAGACTTTCCCGTATTAGTTTTCTATTTCTTTTGGTCTTGTCTAGCTATACGAACTTGACACATATTCTTGCCAGCTACCATCCATCGCCGCCCAAAGTACATTTGTTAACATTTTCTTAATTTTTCCGTATTCTTAATAGAAGAACGAAACGAATATTTTAAGATTATTAAAGAACAGTAAAACCTCGTCCTAAATGGCAATTTCCTTTAAAAAAAAATTAGAGCAGTTTTTAAGAACATGGCGCTTAAGCGCTACTGTAAATTCGAAATTTGAAGCTTTTTCAAGGCAATTTTTAAGTTTTCGAAAAACACTTATTGAACGTCTTTTGAACCATTTTAACTCACAAATACAATAGTGTTTACAAATTGCTGGAAATGTGCATATTAACGGCGTAAGAGAAAAATTACATTAGTGTCATTTTTTTAAAAAACAAGAAAAAATACTCCGAAATGAACTGTAAATTGTCATATTAAAGAGAGCAATTGGCACTATCTGTTCGCAAAGTCTGAAGAAAAAATTTGGAGCCATTTATGAGAAAATCTCTATTTTGTATTTTTTACAATTGCATGCAGTATTGCGTGAAAACTACTAAAGTTGTCGAAAAATGTCCACGATTTTAATGAAGGAACTATGGCGAACAAAATTTATTTGAAGGAAGAAGACGCCGAAAAAATTCAGTCTACGGCAATTTTCGAAAATTCACAGTTACAAGTGAAAATCGGACCTATGCCGCCTTGATAAGAGTATTTTACTCTATTCTTACAAGAAATTTAAAGAAAAAAATTGGAGCAGTTTTGAGAAAATGTTTATGTTCGGGGGGCTTCATGTAAAGTACACCCAAATTTTACAGAATGTTTTTCAAAATCTCCAAGATTCGTCTCGAGTCAGATTGACATGGGTTTCTTCAATTTGAAAAAAATCCTGTGCATGGTTTAGCCGCTTGTGGTGTTTACAGACGGATGTTTTGGAAGAAACCACTTTTTCGGTATTTAGGGACTTCGAAACGTGTATTTCCGTTGATATCCCGAAATCGATTTTCCGCAGCATTACGTAACTTTCCATATACTTCATATATGACTTCGAATATACGTACATATACGTTACGGGAAAGTAACAATTCTAGGAAAGGAGGCCGGAACATTACTCCACAGCTGACTATAATTAGACGAATCATATGAAGGGAGCGCACGAAGAACTTCCTACGCAATCCCTCTTCATTGTCTGAATACCAATGGCCAATACCAATGCCTTGGAATTGGAAAAGTGAGAGGCATTACAGCGCGTCTTCCTACGTCCTGGCCCATGATTCATGTCCGTGTGAGCTCCCAGCTGCCGGCTGCCGAGTGATCATTTAATTCCAATAGCTGACCGTAGACCCCATTCTACAGGAGGAATTCCCCTCAAGACGTATTGCTGCATTATTTTTCTTCCTGGCGTCGCTGCGCAGTGCTACATGGGTCATTATTACATGAGAGGAGGAAATGCCGAGAATTCCTCCTATAAGCGACGTCTGATTTTCGCGACGCCTAAAAAGCGTGCGGTTAAAAAACTTTGTCAACAAAAATGTTTGATAACTATGAACTAAAAAATATACACTTTCCCTCTTACACGAAATGAAATATTATATTTGGTAATTACATTCAAAAGAAGAATATTTATGACATATCTCCCGTCCCTCCCCCGAGAAACCGCCAGTGATAGACATTGCTCTGTCATAATCAGCTAAATCGCCAATGATCAATTTTCTGTCATCAGCCGCGCTCAATGACGGATAAAATGTGCTGGGCATCGTCGCCTTGTGTGTGTCAGTACACTACACATATAGTTTCATCATACGTTGAAGACATTTGTGTAAATATTCGTGACCAGAGGAATGAAGTCGGTTGGAAGAAAGACTTCGCCGTGCTTGCGTCCGGCTCAAGTTGCTAACCGCGGGGTGAGCCTGGCTGTCCACTTTCCTCATCTTTGCCAGCGATGCATTAAGAGAGCTCCATTCTCTACGGGCTCGACGGCTTCCCAGTTGTCTTCTGGCAAATTATATTCCTCTCCTGCGTTAGGAGGCGGATGGGTATGACTCACGACACCTACAGGAATGCACGTTCGGAAACGGTTCTGTAGGAGCAAAAGAACCCGTGTTTCTTTCTTGTGTCGTCAAAGACATTCCATTGCGAGTGCTTCAGCCTAAAAAACTGCTTCGTACACGATGGAGTGAGTCGCCATCGTTTGCCCGATCTTGGTCTTCCAATGTTTGTCATGAGCTTACTCAGTGGCCCGGCCCCTCGTGAAGCTTCAGCTGCCGCTGGTTTCAAACGTTCACCAAAGATGAGTTTGGTGTCTAAAGGTAAGCCTAGGTATTTCACGAACGGCTGTGTCCCGTTAACTTCCGAGTCGACAGTCCTGGAGATCCGCGTTGTTATCTGCTGTCTTGTGAGAATGCGTTCCGTCTTCTCTGAAGCCAGGTCGAGTCCGTGGTCTTCCATCAAGCTCTTGCACGTCTCGAGAGTTGGCTGCATTTCCCCTGCAATCTATTGCCCTGTGTGCCTACACGATCGCACGAATGTCATCGGCATACTCGGAGCTGTCTTCGGCCGTTTTCATCTGGAGTGTGACATTCCAAAGGTCTAGTTCCACGATCGATCCCTGCGCTACCTTCCGCCGTCACGTCTACTGAAACGTGAAAAATGTTTTATTAGTGTTGTATGAAATAAGGTCAATCAAACCATTATCAACGACAAAAACTAGTTGTACTTGACTTTGTGCTAATAAAAATCATCAAACATAAAATATATTGGTTAAGATAGTAACATTGTTTATTTTTATAACTTTTTCTAGGGAAAATGTCATGAAAATCACTAGTGTTCTTCTAGACCCATAAAAGCACATGTACTATTACGACGGTCATAAAAGTGCCTCAAAACGTGAGTGCTTATCATTTATTAGCATACTGTAGATAAGTTTGTAAACAACATTCCACTCTAACTTCAATTCTTCTTTTTACTTACACATGTTAAGTCAGGTTCCTTCCGATCTGAATTTAACAATTTATATTTATTAACAAATATTTATTCCTGAATCCTTCAAAGTAAATCAATAATATGTAGGCTAATCTAATTTTGTCAAAACATGTATAGGGATCGTTCATTCTAAAACCGTGATGAAATAATTGCATTTGTTGTGGCAATGACATTTAGCAAGCCAGATCTAAATTAATTTTCTCAAAAATCATAAGTAAGTTGACAAGTTTAAGAGCATTGAATTTGATTTCCGCAAAGATATGTGAAACTATAGTTTACTGCAAAATCTTCTACTACAAGAAAGTGAAGATGAGAAAATTTCAAAAATGACAATATTTGTGCATTTAATTTGAGCAAGAAAAAATGGAGTGAATTGCATTTGCATATGAAATTTATAATGCCATCTGCAACATAAAACAATAATCAGTAAAAAAATTAATAACCTTCCATGTGATGGAAAATAAAAAGTGTTTAAAATAACTTGTCAAATCAAAGTAGCAGACTACAACACATAGTATCTCGTGTTATTTGTAATGATTATTATATAATACAAATTGAACCAGCATTAGTGGTTGCAATCCAAAACATATTACCCTGGCTGGAATTTGAGCCCAAGTGCAAGAACTCCAGGAGGAAATAGACCATCTTACTGTTTATCCTCCTGTTTACACTCCCAATGCACCAAAAACAAATTTGAATTTTTGCAATAATATAAATCTGAGAGGTTTTAACGAAAATCAGACCAGTGCCATATTATTACAAAAACGTGACTCTATTTGAGTAACAAATATTTTAAAAAAATTTGGAGTCTGTTCAGGGGAAAACCCTGTCTATGGAATATTCTTTTAATGTTTACTATTTCACTCAAAATTACCTGAAAACTTGTCTTAAAAAAATTATGTTTGAGAGCATTTAAAGATCTGTTTTAAAAAATTCATTAAGAAAAAATAAGTTCAATCATAAATCATAAGTTATGTACTTAAAGGAAGATGCCAAAAAAAAATTTGTGTTTATATCCCTAAAAACATGGGCTCAGTTCACTATGTATTTGAGAAAGCAATTTACTACATACAAAAGCAAGAAAAATAATTTTTTTCAGTACCCACTACCCACAAAACTTTGTTAACAAATTCGCTCTACCTCCAACACTACTTATTCTCCTTTTTCAAAGTATATGCTGGAAAGAAAAATAGTGGAGGTCTCACTGATAATCATTCAATAACAATCAAAACGTCCTAAAAAATGAAGTAATGGCACCTGGGTGATAGGGAACCCATTACATTCATCAAACGTATTATTGAGAAGTTGCGTCACATCAAACACACTATCAACCAATTAGTTACCAAAGTGTGGATTAAAATCTAAAAGTGTTTAGAGACAGAAGGGGAAATGGACATCAAGGTTTACAGTTGGCAATCTTCCAGTCTCATTTTAACAAACAAAAATCTACTAAATCACGCTTTACAAGTTACTTAATCGAGAACAAACTGATCTATGACAGCTCTTTGCCTCATGCTTCACTTCAAAAAGTTATTTCAAGTGTACTGAATACTGGGAAGGATCAAAGAAAATATCTTCATTATCAATTTCTGGCCCAATGAAAAATATTCTCTGAAGACAGAGGAATGATTTATAATGTAACTTAGAGAACATAAAGATGCAATTAAACAAAACATTAATGACATGTCTAGAATTATAAAATAATAACATGCTCTGCTAAATCAGATTCTATTTTGATATGGTACAGTTTCACTTTAAAACTACAGAATTCGAGTGGAATGAATAACTCAAAAATAGAAAAAGGAATAAGGAAAATTGAAAAATTAAAATTAATAAACAAATCTGAATTAGAAAACAGTAATATACAAAGATATGCATGTCACTCTACGAACATAACATCCTATAAAATTCTGAATTCACAATCAAAAGAAAACAAATATTTTCAACTTATCAAAATGTTTCGGATGGTAATGGAAGGACCCAATGTTTGGAAGGGCTGATGTGAAAAATACTGTTAAAATATATATAAAAGAAATTTTATACAATTCTTACAGTACAAGTGTAACGAAAAGATCCAGTTTTAAAAATCATTTTTCTGTACTTTCAAGAGAAGCTTATGAAAGAGTAATTTTTAAATTTCCAAATAATTTTCATTATTGAATTTTGTTTCCAATTCTTAATATAAGGGTAAAAACATTTTACTGTCTATGAACCAATGCCACATCTCCACCAATTTCCTAAATTTCACAATAAATACAAGTCATACCACATTCATTCTGATTAGAGAACAAATAGAATTTCATTGAAGGTGCACAAGCACTGTCATAGTATTAATAAAATGTTTCAGGTGCCTTAATTATATATTACAAAGAAAGAGAAAAGCATCATGTATATATTTTTACTGAGTAAGCACATTTGTTAGTATCATAATAAATACAGTAGTGATTGATTGCCTCAATGGCCCTGATTCTCATTATTGTTATTCAAAAATATTCTATTGGTCCTCGTTATTTTACAAGTTTACAAACAACGCATCAGACTGCTCTGAAACACCATTATTCCTGAAATGCTCCTGCTGAGGCAGGTGACCTCTACTACGCTCATCTACCTTTCTCATGTACAACACCTCTTTTACTACAAATACTTCAAAACTATTTGAACAAAGCTTTTTTATCTGATTCGTCATGGGAGGTCTAGGTTTATACACACACTTATGTTTAGGGATCACAAAGAAATCCATATTTTGTACCATTAAAGAGTTTTAATAGGAAAACTTGCATAAGAATAAGTAAATGCATGTTATAATTAGACTGTGCCTTTATCCATTGTATTTGCTTGATTACTTTGATTGCAATTATTCCAGAGCCACCACAAAACATTCACACCAAATCAATATTATTTTATATATACACAAAACAATAAACTTTGGCACCATTGATGAAACTTATATTATAAAACACCTCCCAAGTTAATTTAAATGATAATAAATGTCACAATCAAAAGTACCCATTTTCACCATACTTAACAAGTACTTGAAATAAATCACAAGCAAACATCAATAGTTTGCCCAATAAAAACTCATGCTTTCTACCAGTCCAAACACATTCCATTCACAGCATCCCTGATGATGTTCAGTTCATTCTCAAGCTAGGCGGCAGTCACATGAAGAATTCTTCTGTTGACTCTGACAGAGAGAGTCACGTCCTAGCTGCCGCAGGTTCATTTAATATTGAAATTTCTATCTAAAATTAGATTAAGGATTAAAAATCAATAAATACAATTATGAGTAGAGAAAGGATTTTCACGTAAATACATATTTTTACAGGTACAGCTGGCCGAAACGTTATCCACCATGTCAGTGACGTTGCTCATCCCAGATAACAGAAGATACCTGTGTACAATAACATTTACTTCTTCAAATACAACTAATGTAATATACAGAAATCCGGACAGATATTTTGACATAAACTAATTTTCAGAATCAAGGACCCACAAAACGTGGATGCTGCCTACACTGTTACAGGAAGTAATTTACTACATACTGGAAGAAGATTTACCTACTTCTTTGGTGTCAGCACCCCACATGATAAGTTTTTCTGTTGGAAAATTGTCATTGTTTTGCATTACAATTTTTTCTTTACACTAAAGTAGTATGTGAAAAAAGTAATCGTTAATTTTTCACTGTATGCAATTTACCTTTTGTTAGCAGTTTATTGTTAATGCAGACAACTGAAAATATATGTTAATACAAAACAAAATTCAGAGGAAGTCAACTAGTGGAAACATAAAGCATACCAAAACTTCCTCTTAGTGTTTAGAAATTAATATTGAGGATCTAGGGCAGATTCGAAAAATTTTTGAACATGTACAATTTTTACAATTTTAGAGGTTTTAATGAAAATGGAAACTAACCATATTTGTAGATGTATCCTCTATTCAAACAAAAATACCAAAGTAATTTGCATTGTCATAAGATTTTTCCTGTAATTTACCCACAAAAACTACAATATCTTAAGGATTTCCATAACGACAACAACTAGAGCCCACCCCTTAAGTGTTTACATAGTTTGAGCTCAAAAGCTTCTATTATAACAAGGTTACCATTCTCAGACATTTTGATTTTGGGGTACCAAACTGTGTGTATCTCCTCAACAATCATAACTATCTTTGAAGCAGTATTAATATACCTTAATTTCAATATGTGTACAAAATTACAATTCAAAAATATCTTAAATATGGATTTTACAACCAAAAATTTGTGATTTTAATGTTGAAGTGCATCCAATACTTCAGCACAGGAAAGAAAAGCAATGAGCAATACCATCAAGTTGCTCTAAGTAAAAGCTTTTAACTACTTCCATCTCAAAGGAGCAGTCACCCGTAGAGTATGTTCTAAATAATTTTCATATTTCGACAACCTTTACCTCACTGTACTGCCTCTGTGTGCCGTATCACTTGCTTAGAATTGCTGTCCTAACTCCATTTTCGTAAATTTTTCAGGAGAGTGCTTTGAAGTTTCAAAACTAAACAAATCTTAATATATACCATTGCTGTTAAGGTAAAAGATTTCAATGCAAGAAACAAGATTTTGAAAATGCATGTTTTATTAAACAATAACCTTGTTTCTTTCTTTACGAGTTTGATGAAATTAAGAAAAACTGGTTGGAGTTAAATTAATGATACTTGTGGATTTTCAGCACAGCAATGTTATTACTCCTTTTAAGATCTTCTTTGTAAAGAATTAATGCATAGTAACTTAATTTTTAGCATTGAATCTCAAATATTTTGTCCACCCCTGAGAAATATTTATATACACACTTTATAACTTGAGATTTAGATACTTCTATAACTGATTTGATAGTGATTTGCTTTGCTGACGTATACACACCATAATGTAATCGGCTAATCATTGGTTGAAGAAGTAAGAAAAATTTGGAAAGAACCATAACCTATTAAATGGAGTAAGAACAAAATGTAACAGTAATTTTTAGCACCTTAAGAGATTATAAAGTATGCATTTTCTATATAAAACTGAAACAGGAAAGGAGCTGGAACAACAATGAACACGAAAAACAGATTTTATAAAAAAATTTGAGTTAGAACAACCTGGTTCTAAGCAGACAAAATGTCAAGGCCACACAAGATAACAAGGTGATTGAGCAGATACAGGGATCTTCTAAAACGTGTGGAAAATTCTTACCATGAAGTGTTCCTCTGCAAACTGATAAATAGAAATAGATAAATAAAAATAAATTTTGGAAGTTCTAATGCTAGTCCTTTTCTAAAATTTATGAACTAATGTTCAAGAAAAGGATACGACTCGCAATCCTCTTTCTGTGGGATCTGTGATGAGGAGCCCTCGAGGCGCATATACACGTTCATTTTGCTCCACCACAAATTTCGCTACTTTTCTTAGACACTAGAACAATTAAAAGAGATTTCATTATCAACATAAAGCCAAAATGACATTTAATAATAGCACTGCTAAAATTCAACTCACTTCATATCTTTGAAAACTAAGATTACAATTACCAATTGAAAAATACAAATTATGTGAGCCAATAACAAAATACTATAATCACCAAAATGACAATAAAATATCTGGTTTAATACTCAAGGTGAAAACACAATTTTATATGAGTCAATAAAATTAAATAATAAAATTGCTCTAAATAGAGGCTTATTTTATGTTGCTTTAGTGATTTCAATAAATTCAAACATTTTGGTGTTTTCTGCAAAAGTGAAAGATAAAGAAAAAGGCAACACGTTAGTTAACACGTCTCTAAGGACCATTTATCTTCAAATGCATTAATCTTTCAATAACACAAATATGATTATTAAAAATTACACAAATAATTGAATTGAAACTAAAAATTCAACCACACATTCAATGATGTCAACTGGAATGAAGAAAAAAATAAATGAATACTGTTTAAAATTTGGGACTGATAAAACTCATAATTTTTTTATATCCTTCCCCCCCTTCAAATTGGATTTTTGTGATCATCCAATCATATAAATGTATCTTTTGATCAATAAATATTCAGTGAATACCTTAGCTCTGTTGCTTGACCTATTCTTCCTAATCCTTATATAGTTAAACTCTCCCTAAAAGAAGGACTTAAATACAGTTGCAATTAAAACTCCAACATTAATTTCTGTAATCAATATAATGATTCAAGAATTAAGTTAAAGAAGAAGAAAACATAGGTATTTTGAATTGTAATAAAGAGTGAACGTTCAAACAATTTGAGCTTCAAACTGGGTGAAGTAGTACAATCACGTAGCTTACAGTCAAGGACCCACGTGGTCAAACCCAAATTCTTATAAATCCTATAAGTCATATCAGCGGACAACTGAAGATCAACAAGCATGAAGAAAATACGGAACTCTACAATGAAAATAAATTGTGGGTCATTAATTGATTATTAACTGTGTATTATAATGGCAAACTTTGTACATCATTACCTTCAGATGCTACATATTATAATAAATAACTATTCATGTATTAAATGAACATTTATTATTTGCACCAAAACAAATCTTAATACGATCAGTCGATAAATAATAGTTCTTAAAAAGCAAAGTTTGCTACTAAAGCAAAAGTAGAAAATTATTATTTTAATAAAAAATAAAACATTTAGTTGTTCATTTTTCTAGAAAAAATTCAGAACTTTTATCAGTCCTACAAACACACAAAAAAATTGCAGGGTGGCAGGACAAGACAATTGGAAAGTAAATTTCATCAAAGAAGAAGAAACTTAACCAGTAATCTCTAACACACTCTGAAGTCAATTGCAAAAGATAACTTTTAACCTTTTCATAATGTGTTTCTGTGCAGATATAAATAAGATACGCAGTCAAACATGCCAAACATCCTTTACAGTATGTACTACAGCTGGCCTTTTCTGCTTCTGCATAGATGGCATTCAACTGATTAACAGTGTATTCAAATGCCTGGCGCTCTATCTGCAAAATTAAAGACAAAAACTAGTAATGTCATAACAAAAACTACAAAATTTGAGAGCAAACACCTTATTCCTAACAGGAATGATCTTAAAAATACTAAAATATTTGTTAATAGAGGAAAGACTAAAACATTATTTTAAAATTTCTATTTTTAAAATACTTACTCTGTCTTCTAATTCTGCAGGAAACCGAGTTTGGAATTTAACTAATGTTCCCTCATTATAGTCTCTCTGCACAAAAACTTTCAGGCACTGACCAGTATTATTTGCAGTTCGCGCCGTTGGCATATCTTCCAAAGGAGCTGAACTTGTGTGATTCTGGAAACAAAATATTTTTCTAGAATTTTTCTGTAAGGTAGCTGAAATGCTAGCAACATGGTATGGCTATTGAATGATTTGATTTTTAACATTCTACAATTATATTGAATTATGAACAAATTAACACATATTTTGCATAAATTGATTTTTACTACTACTGTCATCTACAAAGGTAACTCAGAAGTTCAAGAATTATATTAAAAGTATATTGCATGAATTTTATTAGTATTATTAGAGATGCACAAATAAACATTTTCAGCAGAAGGAATAAAAATCATAAACGAAACTTAAGATTCAGATGTATTCTACATATTTTAATGCTTTTTAAATCTTACAGCTTTCAAACCAAATATAGCAGCATTTGGAAGAACTCTTTCGCCTATGAAACCAAATTTAGATCCAGTTTTACTCACAATAACTTATATTTTATTACTAACAATTATGACATCTTTCTTCAGCCACATCCTTACAATGAAATATCTTTGCGGAAACTAGAAATAATTATTGAAAATACAAAAATTGAAAGCTTAAGAAAGCATAATTATAGCAACAAAAGTTCACTATTCTATAGTGTTTAGAGGTCCTCTGATCTACACAATACTGTCATTTTTATGCAAACAATTTCCAAAAGAAAGTGACTAATGTAAATGTTATTTTCACAAAAACTTTGAACTTGTATTTCAAAGTCCAATACAATAGAAACAACACTTATAATTGATTAAAATTTAATGAGAAACTTGAAATATCTAGGCATGTGTGTATTTTACAAAATACATTTTATAATGGTAAAGTAGCTATAAAAATCCAAAATGTAGTACGCATTCACTGCAATGATGTGCTTCTTCTCTCAAGTCACTACACACATAATCTATTTAATAAATATTTAACAACGCAGGAAATAGAAACATCATTTGATGTACCTGAACAGTCTATCACACATTAAGCACTACAATTATTCACATATCAAATCTATCTCAATTAGAATATATTGCTTTGTGTACCAATTGAAACTTATCCAACACTCAGAAACAAATACATCAATTCCGTTGCTGCAGAAAGTCATTATGATTGATAATCGAGGCACTAATGCACCTAATTCTAGCTGATCATCATCCTACCTGATAACTCTCAGGCTACTGACATTTCTGGCCTCGTGCTAACGTATATTGTACCGTACAATATAAAGAGATTATTGGGTTAAGAATATACATTCACGGGACACCTATTTTAAGACGTAAACATAACCACTTAACCCAACATCTAACTTTATGACTTACCATAGGCATATTTACTGATTATTAAATTAATTCTCGGGGTTTGGCACAGCACGCGCAAAAACGTTATTGAGCGAAAATGGGGTGAGCAATTGGCAAATATGTCGAAAATATCAGGATTATCACGTCTTTGACATATAGTTGAGACCCCTTCACACTATGACTCACACTCACACCCCTCACACCAATCCCCATTCAACGCAACGTTCGTCAAAGTGTAGACATAACAGTGCACCAGAATCTGTCACGATGTCCGAGCTCAAAAGTGGGTCGGGTACTGCACAGTGGTCGGACACTAGGGTTGTACAACGACCAATACATTCGCTTTTACTTTCCCGTATACGTACCTATATACATACTATAAGGAAAGTTATGCAATGCTGCGAAAAATCGATTTCGATATTTCAACAGAAATACACGTTTTGGGATCCCCTGCTACCGAAAAAGTGTGTGGATTTTGTGTGTGTGTGTGTTTTCCAAAACGCCCGTCCATCTGTCTGGTGTCTGTGAACACTACAAGCGCCTAAATCATGCGTAGGATTTTTTCCAAACTGAAGAAACCCGTGTCGATCTGGATCGAGTCGAATCTTTGAGATTTTGAAATAAATTCTTTAAAATTTGGAGTTACTTTATATTAAGCTCCCGGACATTTTCAAAAATTTCTCAAAAACGGTTCCACATTTTTTCTTTATATTTCTGGTAAGAATAGAGTAAAATCCACTTATAAACATGACATAGGTCTGATTTTCAGGTTTGACGCTGAATTTTCGAAACTTTCAAATTTTTTGGGCGTATTCCTACCACTACAAAATTAAAGATAGAGATTTTCCCTTCAAATACAATTTGTTCTCCATATTAGTTCTTTCATTAAGGTTATATACATTTTTTTTAAAAATTGTAGTAGTTTTTTCCGCAATATTGCGTGCAATATGTGTCTCCAATTGTTGTGGCTCCAATTTTTGTCTTTAAACTTTTAGAAGGGATAATGCTAAATGTACTCTATAAGATGACATGAACGCCACATTGCTCTATTCTTTTGTTTTTTCGAGAATTACAAAACTGTAAATTTTCGACTTGCCTCTCATGTCGTTAATATTTATATTAGAGGCAATTTGTTAAATTTATTGTATTTATAAGTACATGTGTTTTTAATAATGTTATATAAAGTGTCTCGAAAACTCTGCAGTTTTCTGTAAAAACTAGCTTTAAACTCATTATTTTCAGAAACGCTCAAACACCGTTTTCTCAAAAACAGCTCTTATTTTTTTCTTCAAACATTAGGATAGTGGTAAATTCACTCTTTAATATGACGTTAAGTTAATTTTGGTGTATTTTTTTCCAAAATTACACAAATGTAAAATTTTTGTAATTTCTCTCACGCCATTGATATGCACTTTTCCAGCAATTTGTAGACATTGTTGCATTTGTGAGTTAATGTACTTAAAATGACTTCAAATTAAGGTTCTCAAAAACTCAAAAATTTTCTGAGAAAAACGTTTCAAATTTCGAATTTACAGTAGCGTTTAAATATCAGTTTTTTTAAAAAACGGCTTCAGATTTTTCAAAGAAAGTTGCCATTAGGGCGAGATTTTACTGTTCTTTAATGATCTTGAAATAATATTTGCGCTCTACTACTAGGAAAAAAAAGAAAAAAGAAAAAAATTGGGCGGAGATACATGACAGTAGGCAAGAATATATGGCAAGTTCGAATAGCTACCCAAGACCAAAGGAAAAAGAAAACTAATATGGGAAAGTCTGTGCCATTCTGTAACACCACTAATTCTGCCCACTGTCCTTGCAAAGACCGTTTTCACAATTGAATAGAACTCACGGCGCAAGTATTGGTGATATTCTACATCAGTTAAAATTGGGACTATCATCGAAAGGATATTAAACTATTACAGAGACGACAGAACATAATAATCCTTAGAAATAACTAAGCTATAAAATTGTCTACAATAATAATTCCCTATTAGAAATTAACATCATATTTGTATGTCTTTTTAGGCGTGGGTCGAAGATGGTAATAAAAGCCTCGGTTTGCTGAATTTTGGATATGTTGTGAGGGATGAATTAATCATCAATTTCTTCAAAAGTATTGACGTAAATATGTAATTTTACTCTTTCTCGAAAAAAAATCAATACTTTCGAGAAAACGCTGTTACAAAAATTTGCGTGACTAAGACATAAAAAATCAACACATTTTCACAACCACTTAAAAAAAAACATTTTTCGATGTCATCAGTACTAAAGACATGCAATGCTTTTCTTCGTATAGATTGAGATATTGTTATTGATTCGGGGCGCGTGAAATGTGTGTGTTAGGATGTCGCAATTAGTGTCATACTGCATTTTTTTCACCAGGAGGTGGCAGTGATAGATGGCGAGATCCAGCGCCGACCTACCGTCTGCTAGCAGGTTTTTACCTAATCTCCCATCATCGGGGCACCGCGCCAGCCGGGACAAACTCGATGCTCCGGACCGATCAGTGTGGTAGGATAGTGCATGTTAGTATACGTGTGTGTAAGTAAGGTGTGAGGATAGAACAAAAAAATGGGAAGGAAAGATCGCGCGCGATCCGTGACCCGTTTGTTAGGGTGCTGCTCCGGCATTCGCCTGTTGTTGATCGTAGAAACCAGGGAAAACTACCGAACAGAACAGGCGGCCACTAGAATTCTCCTCCAGACAGCGATCTATCTGACAAGCTACTGTCGAAAACCCTCTCTCTTTCGGGACTCGAACTTAGGACCTCCCGGTCAGGGGCATTGCGGGGACACCAGTTGGTGCCATGAGCCATCTCTCCCGACATTTTTCTTCAGAAAACTAGTGGTGCTACAACAGCACATTCTTTCTCGCAATATTACAATGTTATCGTACGTACGATGGGATATCCATAATTGCTTCATTAATTTAAAAAAATACGCGAAAAATACCAACTTATGGAAAATATGGTATAATATCTTTTTTAAGAAGCTAAATTTTTACAACAGACTTCTAAGGAAAAAATCTCTATCTTCAATTTTGTAGATATTGTAGTTTCGAATTATTTTTTGCTATTATCGAAAAAACGAGCTATACCTGAAACTGGGAATTGCACCAATTTTTTAACCGTCGCTTATTACATATGTGAAGAAAAGTATTTTTTTAAATTGAATCTGTTTTTTAGAAAAGAACTCGTAAATTTCAAGCGCAACCTACGCAAAAACTACTCGTTTTTAAAAAAGATTGTTACAACCTTTTTTAAGGAGCTAATTTTGTACAACAGACTTTGCCTGAGGCAAAAATCTCGATCTTTAATTTTGTAGTTTTAATTTTTTGTTGCAATTTTCGAAAAACCGAATACCTGAAAATGGGACTAGCACCAACATTTTTACCGTACCTTATTACATAAGAGTAGAAAATTTGAAAAAAAGTTTGGAGCGGTTTTTGAAAAAAAAACAATCAAGGGTTTCAAACAAAAAGGAGATCTGCGCTATTCTATTAAACGTTCACAACGGATAAAATTTAATAAAAAAAATTGGTCTTTTTTTTTTTTTGAAAATTTTGAAAATGTCCGGGAAGTTTCGTGTAAAATACCCCCCCTCCAACAAATTCGGTTTCAAATCCCAGCAGTAGTGACATCAGCCAGAACGATTGTGGAAAATCGATTTTGGTGAAAATCGACTGAACGGATTATGCGCTATCAGTGTGCACAGACGGACAGACAGACCTTTGTCGTCAATCAATTTTTCTGTATGAAGGACGCACAAAACGTTGATTCTGGCTACACCACTTGTTAGAGGAATTGTTTTCTATATTCAGCAAGTGGATGTTATCAACTTTTTCGTCACCAGGGTCCGGCAATAAGAGTTTATGGGTTGAAAGTTCGCCGTTTTGAGGCGCACGATTACAAAACTTTTTCTTCTTAGGTTAGTAAGTGCGAGAAATTAAAAAATTTATATTGTCAATTATTGATTTGTCAAACGTATTAAACATATTAAGCTTCGTATTCGTCATGTACATATACTAATGTTTCAGCAGCACACACTCTCTCTATTACTTGTTACGTATAATGGTTCAACACGTAAAAGTGTTTCTAACCTGCAAAGATGTATTTTCCTGTGCATGCGCGCATGAATTCAGCGAGCAGCCGTCATGTCCAAAGTACGCCTGGTTGTTTATGAACAAAACTATGCTCCAACGCATAAAAAAAAGTTGAATTCTGGCATCATCGAGTATATCATATAATTGAAAGAACCTTTTTACTTGCTCGTATACGTATGTATATATGGAGTAATATACGTAGAATAGAGAAAATAATGTAATTCTGTGCAAAAAAAAAAAAAAAACGGAACATTTACGACAGAAAGATATTCATTGCCGGGCCCTGATAATAAAGTGAAAAATCCAGTTGCTAAATTAAGAAAAAAAATCCTCTAACCTATAGTGTAGCCAAAAACCCTGCTTTGTGGTTCCTTCTAACCGAAAAAAATATTGACGGCAAAAATTCCGTCCGTCTGGTGTATGTGATCAACACTTCCATGTAAATTATCCGTAGGATTTTTTTTTAATTGAAGAAACCCCTATCGATCTGACCTGAGTCAAAGCCCTGCGATTTTTAAAAACATTCATTAATTTGTGGGGGTACTTTACGTAAAGCCCTTGGGAAATTTTCAAAATTTTCTCAAAAATGGCTCAAACTTTTTTCTTTAAATTTCTTGTAAGAATAGAGTAAAATACACGTATAAAAGAGTTCGCTCCCCCCCTCTCCACCAGAGGCCGTTCTTCGACGGAGTAGATCGCGGGACAAATGCGGTACTTTCTAGTATCAACAGCTACAGGATCAACGGTTTTGGAAGAACGCAGTTATGGACAGTACAATATAGAAATCGAAGGGAACAATATGGGCCCTCTGAGAGTCGGGATCCAAATCTTACCCTTCAGCATAGTTGATACTTCCAAGCTCTCAATGATAATCTCTTAATGATAGGATTAAGTAATGCTGACAGGCAACATTTTTAGTATTTGTCCTGAGCTCATCACAACACATCACGCAGAAACGGATGATTTGTATTCTATATCGCGCAGGAAGGTTTGGGATATAGGTCCCTTACGTAAAATCTCTGATGGAAGAAAAGCCCACCCAATTGTCTTGTTTCTTAACGATACCCACATTGTGCCACAGAAGGGTACAGTAGGAAAAGGGCAGACTCCACACCGTTCAATTTGTCTCCTATTTCGGTTCCGTGTTCACCGTGGCAGTGATCTTTCAAATAAGAAAAACCGAGGAAGGATTGGAGTGATTATCTTTTCATTCGACCAAGTTTTGCCCAGATTTAGAGGGAAGTTACCC